ATATATATTATACACGAAATATATAAGAAAGTTTATTTGTGTGGTCCAAATTTATGTTCTAAATTTAAAGATCAAATAAGTAGTTATTCATAACTTATGCTAATATTAACTTGGATGCAAAAGAATTAGTCAATTATTTATAGTTTAATAAATTATTCAACTACTTAAATTTTTTTATTTGGACAGGTCTTACGAATATAAATTCATTTTAGTTAATGAAACAATATAAGTTTTATAATTATACGTATTATTTCACATAGATTTTTAAATATATGATAAAATTTTACCAAAACATTTATTTTATTGTATCACATTGTATTCAAATCGAAATTTTGAATATTTTTTTTTTTAAAATGACGTTATTTTGAAATGAATATAATATAATTTATTATTAGTTACGTGCATTGTACGAGTTGTGTACTAATTTTAAATATACATATTTTATGTAATTTTGTATAATTAAAATTTCGTGTAACATTTTTAAAATTAACATAGGTAAATTGTATTACATATTGATTCAATATTCTTAATTTATAAAATATTATTTAATGCATATTTTTAATTTATAAATACTAATAAATATTTCTTACCCGTGCATCGCACATGATTCGTACTAGTTTATATATAAAAAAACTTTAAATTTGTGTTAAAAAATGTAACAGAGCAGCTTCTTTTATTTACATTTGAATCGAAACTCGTCGAAAGATGAATAATTTGATATAATATATATGAAAAATTGACAATAAATAGAAAAATTATTAATTTTCAAATATATTTATAATTTAAATTAGTCAAGTGGTTTATAATTTTAAAAATCTTAACAGGAAGTTCGATATGACATTATCTTACTCGTTGTCGTAGGTTGATAGTCATCTTCAGTTCAGGTAACACTAGTGAAATCAGAACAATCATCTTCTTTATCCTCTTCGTTAGTTAGCATGACAGTTTGCATCCTTTGATCGATTTCCTCCAATCACCAAGCAACATTTGATTCCATAAGTTCTATGGCGTCAACCTCAACTGTCGTGCGTCCTGTGTATATCCACTCTCGCTAATTAAATGCTTGTTCAATCGCTACTGTTGAGGCCGGTATAACGAAAATCTCTTTGGTCATATTGCATGGAATCAGATAAATTTGCTCATTTTTTTACCGCAAATCCAAGACGTCGAAGTTGAGTGACGGAGTTTGTGCACGAGCAATGTTAGGTTTAAAATCTGACGAGAGGTAGTGATCGAGCTCTTGGTATTCAGTCCCCCTTGCCCTAGATATCGAGCTCCTGGTATTGAATCCAATATGTCGTGTTTGAACTCGTGCTCGTTTAATAAACAGGCATATGTGGCTCAGATAATTGAATAAATTATTTTTCCTTGACTCAGCTCCGTCGTTTGATTAATTTTTATTTTATGTTTTGTTATATGAATGAGTGAAGATTGACTTTTTACTTTAGGAACTCAATTATGTCCTCTAGGTAGAAAAGATATCTGGCTATGCCCCATAGGACCATAGCACAACAAAATATATATGTTTCTATATTTCATTGTCGAACTACTCACATTAGCGTACCTCTATTACCCTATTTTGTGCTGATCTAACATATCATCCTCTAAACATATCCTAATCATCTGCTAATCAATGTGTCAAAATTCATACATCAACAATGATAATACTAGTATTTCCATTTATGTTGCATTAAGATTGTATTCATTTGTAAAATCTTACCGGGACAATACCTTGTACTACACGGGTACTTGTTAAAAAAATTATTTTTAAAATTAAATGATATTAACAACAATCATATAAAATTAAATATACATATTTATTAGGCTTGTTTGAGGTTTTCATGGAAATTAATGAACCGATTGAGAGCTTCCAAAGCAATCAATGTTATATTAGTACTCAACCAATATAATTACCAAATATTCCACTACAACTTAAATGTTATATTAGTCAAACAATTATGGATTTACCAAGTTAGTTTTTCAATATTTTTAGAATGTTCGAACCTAAATTTATTAGTTTACAATAATATTATTTATTATCAAAACCAAACTAGTACGTACCCGTGCGATGCACGGAACATAAATATTAAATGAGTTATTTTCACATGCTTTGTCCGTTTAAGTATATAAAGCAATAGGATTATCATATATTTTTCATCTCTTTTAATCAGCATAAGTATAATAAACAATAAGGTTATAATACATTTTGCACCTCTTATCTACATTATTTTTTTAGTCAAAATATTAAAATAATTAATATATTATTTCACTAACACATTTATCCTAATTTGAATTTAATTTTAGTATATATATTTATTCCTTGATTTAAGAGAGAATAACAATTTTACTTATTCTTGTTCACCATATAATACTTAATTATTATTTTATTATACACTTTATGTCATATAATGTCATTATTATTTATAAAGTTGTAGAAGTTGTACGTCTTCTTTTTATTTTTATTTTATGTAATGAAAAATATATAACGCACGTTGGTATTATTTATTTATGTAATCACTTTAAAATATGTAAATAAATTTAATATTAAATAGTGTATAAATATTTTACAAAATAAACACATGTTTTTTTTTTAATTTAATTTTGTATACTAATTAAACAACTTCGATTTAGAAAATCCCAAAAACTTGACCCCCTCGATGATCAAGATTTTTCTAATTCGCATTATAAGGATTTATGATTTATTTAGCGTAATCAGCAATGAAAATATATTTTACAAGAATTTAATTATAGAAATAAATCAAAATAATAAAATGGAAAAATATAATCATGGGTGCCAATAATATACAAATAAATTCTAAACAATAGTTAAAATATTTCAATTTTAATTTTGTACCATTAGTAAAGCTTTTTATTGTATCTGGTCATTATCTCTTAAATGATAAATTATATTAATTTGAAGAACGATTTATTTTTTATATTTAACAAAATAAAGCTTAAGAAACAAATATATTGGCAAATATTAATTCACCAACTTAATTTTTTCTGATTACTTGGAAAAACAATTCTACCTAACCTGTTACGATTTTCCATAAATATTTTTGAATAAAAAAGTGAATATTTGTGAAAATTAAACCTATTATTATTGTTAGAACTTAAAATATGGTGTAATATTATCTTGACCAAAATATTATCAACATGGATCACAGAAATCAATCTTGTAATTTATTATAATGAATATCAATGAAAGTATTACAATATTAATAAAATAATATTTATCTTGACCAAAAATATTATCAACATAAATAACGAAAATCAATCTCGTAATTTATTATAA